AGGTCACAAGTGGGTCCCATTGGAAACAGGGTACTCAACAGCAGAAGTGGTTTACCCTTTTATTTTACATACTCATTCTCACATAGAAGTTGAGAGGCCTGCAAAGTAGGTACTTGACCTTGAATTCACTCCTCCAAAAAGTCTGCAGTACTCCTTCCAACTGAGAGGTCTATAGAATAAAGAACATGAGAGTGGATTATCCCTGGCTTGTCTCATTTCTCAGCACTCCAAAACCAACTTTGTCTACCATGATGAAAAGAAACCTTGATTTCTAGAGAGATAAGCCTTTCTCATTCCCACCAAGAAGTAGAACTATCTGCCACCATTCCAGCACCCAGGGAAGAGAAAGACTAATACACAGGGTGCCAAGAGCATCCCCCATACCCCTCAATGAAACTGGACAATAGGTGAAACAGGGAAAATTTCAAAAGAAAGTTTTAGGACTGAAATAGAGAAATTAGATGTGTCTAGGGATACAGGGCAACTGAGCCTGCCCTCTGCCATCCCTTTCTCAGGCACACAATCGAGGAGGCCAAATCAAAGTATATATTAAAAAGGAACCAGCCAGAAAAGAGTACAATGATCCTAAAAAATTAAAAATAGAGGGACCAGCAGGTGGCACAGTGGTTAAGGTGCTGGATTCCCACATGGCTGACACGAGTCCTGGACCTAGCAGCTTGCAACTCATGCCAGTTGTGTGCGTGTGCATGCCCAAAATCCCAAGAGAGGAATGGAGGAGAAGGGACTGTGGTGTGGCCATCCTACCTGGGGAGTGATTTCTTGGTTTCTGTCTGTCTGTCTGTCTCTGCCTCTCCAGTAAGTGCATACATCCTATAGCAAAAAAATATCTCTCCAAAAACAAAGTTAAAAATAGAATTTACCATGATTCAAGTACATATGATTCACTTCTGGGTATATCCCCAAAAGAACTGAAAAGAGGGTCTTGAACAGAAATCTGTACCCCCAGGTTCACGACAATATTTATCAACAACAGTCAAAAAGTGAAAGAAACCCACGTGTCTATAGATGGATGAAGATAAGCAAAATGTGGGATATACGCTGGAATATCACTCAAATTTAGAAGAGAAGGAAATTCTGACATCTGTCGCAACATGGATGAACCTCCAGGACATTAGTGAAATAGGCAACCTTACACGGGGTATCTAGAAGAGTCCAATTCCCAGAAAGTGGGATAGTGGGCATGGGCACGAGTTAGTGTTTTATGGGTATACATTGAGCTCGGGAGGATGAAAAAGTTATAGAGAAGGATGATGATGGTTGCACTAAAATGTGCACGTACTTAATGTCATTGAGCTGTGCATTTTTAAAATGCAACACTGTAAATAGTTGAAGTGGTATTATGCATACAGTATTTTACAATAAAATTAAAAAAAAAAAAAGAAAGAAACAGGCTACCCTGCAATACTAAGAACTAAAGGCTTTTAGAGTCACAGACCCTTAATGAATAAAGATACATACTCATAAAGAGGCATCTATAACTCGTCAGATTTAGATTTTTTTTTTTTCATAGCGTCTGTGAATCCGAGGGTGTGAGAGAGTGAATCAGGCAGCAGCCTCAGGAGTGGGCAGGGTGAGATCACAACCCCTGAGGCTGCTAAGCTCTGAGGTAGCCGCCGGCTGGGCTGGCAGAGGGCTAGGACGCCGGGTGGCGGGCCCTGAGGCGGGCTCGGAGCGATCTCCACCGCCCACTGACGCGCGCTGCACGTTCTTCCAATCAGAGGGCTCCAGAGGCGGGCTCTGAGGGCCAGAGCCAACCGCAAAGCACCTATTTCTTGTTGTCCCGCTGGTTCCTGCTCACGATTGGCGAGTTTCAAACCCGCGGCAACCAATGAGAGTGCGCAGATGCGCAGCGCTTCAGCCTCGATTCCAGGCGCGACCTTTGAAGAAAAACTGTTGTTGAGGAGTCATGGTGCGGCCCGGATCCGCTGCCGCCGCCGCGGGTGAGTATGGACCGCGATCCCCTGTTTCTTGCAGGCGAGAGAGAAGGGGACTTCTTCCCGAGGAAGTTGCCCGTCCGCTCGTCTGCGTCAGTCTTCCCCGGGTGGTTCCGGCCCTGGGGTCGCGGAAGGGAGCCCAGGCCCCGGCCGGCAAGGAGACGTCTGAACCTGTGTCGGAGAGGCTGTGAGCGGGTTAGATGCCCCATGGGCACCTTCCCAGTAAATCCGGCAGCCGTTTTGCAATACGATATCACCATCACCACGTTCTAGATAAAGAAACTGAGGCTCTTTGGCCGGGTCACGCCACCCAGATTTGGCTCCTGGCAGAGCTGGGTGTGGTCGGTCCTCTGTGCTGCGCGTCCTGGGCTTGACAGCTGTCAAGAGGCGGGGCCTGGCCCAATCCCGGGCTGCTGCCTCCCACGCGAGGCTCTTTCCTTTACACCTGCTGCGGTCTGGAAGTTGATTGGTTAAATCTGCACCAAGGGCCAAGGATCCTACGTTCCCTGACCTCTTTAAATGTACCTGGAGTCCCTTCCTGCATTTCAAGATACTCCTGCTCAGATGCCATCTTTACCAAGCTGCACGCGGTGATTTGATAGTTTCGTCAAATATACGTTCTGATTGGCTAGTATGACTTAGGCACTGTCCAAGGCACCTTACATAACAGCCTTTAAAGGTGGGTAGTATTGTCCCGTTTGTATAGTCTCAGCAGCAGCAAGGTTTGCTTATTTGCTGGAAGACAGACCTGGGACTTGAACCTGTGCCACACTGCACACCTCTTCATCTCTATACTGCCTGACATTCATCTAAAATCTATTTCTCACTGCTACCTCACAAGAGTGCATCAGAGTCAGTTAGCAAAACAGAGGGCAACTCAGTTCAAATGCGGTTAAGAGCAGTATGCAACCCTATAGTTGAGGAGTGGAGGGGATGTTTAGCCACTACTTAATTTTAGCCCTTTTCAACTACCTGCTTCCCAAATCCATTCCCCACCTTTGAACTCCCAGATTTTTTTTTATTTGACTGTCTCTTAATAGCACTTAGATTTGCTTTATATTGTAATTCGTTGTGTTTATTTTCTCTCCACTAATAGATGGAAACTTCTTGAAGGCAGAAAGGAGGGGGTCTTCCCAAAGTTCATGGAAAATGCATATTCTAAAAAAAAACTATGCATGAATTTCAGACTTTTTTGCACCAAGATAAACTTGTACTTTAATTCCATTTTTCCCACAGATTTATTGAAATTCCTCATATTGACTTTTCATCCTTTCACAAGTACCTTGTATGGAAAGTTACCATATAGCAGTTTGTCGTGAGCTCCCTAACCTGGCCTAATTTTTCCTTAGTCCCAAAGGAAACCATATAAGAGTTTGTGAGTTAAAAATCATCATCTGGGGGCCAGCTAGTGGCATGGTGATTAAGGCACTAGATTACCACATGCCCAGCCATAGTTCAAGTCCTGGACCCAGTGGCTTGAAAATCACCCCAGGTGCATGTGCATGCTAGATTTCCAAGAGTAGAAAGGAGAAGGAATTGCAACCTGGCCATACCCCCAGGGGTGATTTCTCACTTTCTGTCTCTCAGTCTCCAGTGAACACATACGCCCTATGACAAAAATCTTCAAAAAAAAAAAAAAAAAATCCTGTTCAAAAATAAACAGTAAGTAACAGGACCAGACCTGGCTACCAGACCAGTAATAGAATTTCTTCATGCAAAGCATAGTATGTTATAGCTGAGAACAATGGCTGTCAGCAAAGGCTTAGAGATAGAAAACCTGTTTGCAAATCCTGACTTTGCCACCTATTAACTGGGTTATTTGGGCTGTGTTATTTACCCTCTCTGAATTCCAGACTGCAAAGTAAGTCACAGGATTGTTGTGTGGATTGAAAAAAGTAATGTTAAGTGTAAAGAGCTTAACAGAGGGCCTGGCATATGAAACATATTACTGATGTTAATATAAGCTGAAGGCACACTTACAGGACTAGGGACTTTATAACTTTATGGTACAAAGCCAAAATTATTACAGAAAAGTGTCATCTTTTAGAATGTAAACAAATTGGTTAAATCAAGCTGAAGTTCTGTTGCTTGCTTGTTTGTTTTACAGAGGAACGGCAGAGAAAACTCCAGGAATACCTTGCAGCCAAGGGAAAACTAAAGAACCAAAACACCAAGTGAGTTTGTCTACCCACAGTTATGCAGACTTTGTTGTCCTTGTTGCTAATAGCAATTTAAAACCTTTTTGCTTGCAGCCTAGTCAGACTGCATTGGGATCCTGTGACAACTTTAAAAGGACATTTCAGTCCAAGCATGACAAAAAACCCTGGGCAGTGCCTCATCCATTGGCAAAGATTTAAGCATTATTGACTGTCTCTAAGAAAGAGGGAAGGGTCTGCAGTATTATCTATCATGCTGGAAGCTTTTCCTATCCCTGCTTTTCTTCCTAGGAAAGTTCATTCTCATGAAGGCAATTTTCAGCCAAGGTGTTGAATGATCCTACTTCTGGTTTTTCTTGCTAAAGCAGGAGAGCAGTTACAATCAGTCTGCCACAGCGGCACATCAGCATCTTCCTCCAGACTGACAGTGCCCCTTGGTCATTCTCTTAGTGTTTACTCTTGAGATGGACAGAACATGACTGTTTATTTTTATCTTTTAACACCTTACCATTTTTTGTTGTTATTTATCCCTCTTGCTTAGCATTGATGTATTTTCTCTCCACTTGGGTTGCTGAATTTTAATTTGAAAATGAATTTTTACAAAGTTATCACTCTTTAGTTTACCTTGGGTTTTTATTCAACTCCATTTTCTCGATTAAATGAACCTAATTCATTTATTCAACAAATAATTAGTCCCTATAAAACGTCTTTCTTAAAACTGTAACTACAGGGACCAGCAGTTAGCGTAATGGCTATGTCGCTGGACTCCCATGTAGTCAATCGCAGTTTGCGTCCTGGACCTGGTGGCTTAAAACACGCCAGGTGCGCGTGCATGCGTGCCCAAGATCCTGAGAGGAGAACGGCGGAGAAGGGATTGTGACGTGGCCATCCCCCCTGGGGGGTGATTTCTCGCTTTCTGTCTCTCTCTGTCTGTCTGGCGAGCACACACGCCCTATAGCAAAAACCTCTCAAAAAAAAAAAAAAAAAAAAACTATAAATACAGTACTTAACAAGACAGAGAGATTCCTGCCCTCCAAGGGCTTGTGTTCTACTTAGGAGAAACAAATACCAAACAAGTCCTGGTCAAAGTCCCTGTTAGTCTAGCAATTGATTTTGGTCCATGAAGATTAGCTTCTTGGAAATCCTCCCTTTTTTTTTTTTCTTTTGCAATAAGGTACATGTACTTGCTAGGAGAGACAGGGTAATGAGAAAACACCCTGTAGTGGGATAGTCATTTTGCAGTCCTCCATTTTCCTTTGAGGATTCTGGACACCCACACACATCTGCCTGCCAGCATGTTTTTCAAGCCACAGGGTCTAGAACTCAAACCACGCAGTGAGCCATGTGGGATCCAGCCCTCATTAACCTCCGTGCCACCTGCTAGCCCTTTTGTATTTTCTATCTCACTAGTTAGATTTTATGTGTGTCCCTGTTTTTAAGTATATTACTTTCTTCCTGAATAATTACTATCTGAAGATACTTAAATAAGGAAGTATTTTTTAAAGAAGCAGTTAAATATCTTATTTGGCATTGTATACCCAGTTTCTGACACATGCAGTATTCAAAGTATGGTATTTGAATGAATAAGACTATGCAGATATGAAGAAAACACATACATTTCATTGATATTGTTAGAACACTACACTTATGCATAGGACATATCTGAACATATCACAAAATTTTTAAAAAAAAGAAAAGAAATGAGTAAGAGCAGTTGTGGTCTCTGAAGAAGTGAATTCGGGACAGAGGAAGAGATAAGGAGACTATTGAATATAATTTTGAGTTGTTTCACCATATACAGAAATTCTGGAGCCAGCTGATATCATGGTGGTTGTGGTGGCTTAGTCCCACATGGCTAACTACATGATTCAAGTCTTGGACCCAGCAACTTTAGAAGCACATAGGGTACAAGTGGGTGCAGGCAAAATCCAAAGAAGGGAATGGAGGAGAAGGGATTCCAGTATGGCCATCACCCTAGGGGTTGCTTTCTCACTTCCCTGCACTCTCTCTGTCTCTCCAAGAACATGTGTACCCACTATCAAAAAAGGAATTTTATTTTGTAAAGAGATTTTTACTATAGGGCACGTGCACTCACCAGAGAGACAGAGAGAAAGTGAGAAATCATCCCCACCACCACCCCAGGGGAATGGTCATGGCCGCAATCCTTTCTCCTTCATTCTCTTCTCAGAATTTTGGGTATGTACACAAACACACGCCCAGCATGAGTTTCAAGCCTCCAGTCTGAGACTTGAACTGCAGTTGGCCATGTGGAAGTTCAGCACCTTAACCATCATGCCACCTGCTGCTCCTACCCCCCCAAAAAATTTAAAAAACAAAAAAGAGATATTAATGATTTAAAGTTCTAATATTGTTTTTAATCACTTTACTTCCCAAGCCTTGCTGATCCTTCTAGATTAATTTTATTTTGTCTTTTATAGGCCTTATCTAAAAGCCAAGAATAACTGCCCGAATCCACCACCTCCTAAATCTGTAAGTAGAAATTAGCCTTTCAATAAATATCCATTCTGGAAGTATAATTAGTAATAAAAAAAAGATGTTGGCTACCTAAAAAATATGCATTTTAAAGATATTTCTCATAAATATAAGAGCAGTTTGGTTTAATAAGAGACAGAATAAGTACCACTTAATGTAATTTAGTTTGGTTAACCAAAAAAATACTTTAAGTGGAGTTTGGTCCTCTTTAAAAGCTAACATTTATTGAATACGCTTTCTTCATCTGCACTTTCTGAGTCGCATTAATTTGTTGAGTCCTCATGGTATTATGACATAGTTATTACTAGTAGCCCCATTTTACAGATGAGGGAACTAAGTTATAGAAAGGTTAAGTAGTGGTGCCAGCAGGTGGCATGATGGTTAGAGGCGCTGGACTCCCACATGGCTGACTATGGTTTGAGTCCCGGACCTGGCAGCTTACTTTCTCACTTACCCTTTCTCTCTCTCTCTGTCTGGGCAAAATTTTTAAAATAATAATACCAAATGGAATTAAATAAATAAATAATTCTTAAAAAAAAAAAAAAAGAAGAAGAAGAAGAAAAGTTAAGTAGCTTTCCAAACTTACCTAGCTATTAAGTGACAGAACTGAAAGTCTACAGTGTTAACCACTTTAGTATTCTGCCATGAAGTTAAGTTGCTCAGTAGTCAGTTATTTAGGAAGAATATTCTTGCTAATCAATACAGTTCAGCTAGGTTATAAATAGAATGGTAAAGGATTGTAACATATTTAGCCTTTTGAAAGGGGTACAAATTCTTCATCTATAATAAAATAATCTGTAAAGGGACCAGCAGTTAGCGTAATGGCTGTGTCACTGGACTCCCACGTAGTCGACCGCGGTTCGCATCCCGGACCCGGTGGCTTAAAACTCACGCTGGGCGCATGTGCGTCCGTGCCCAAAATCCCAAGAGGAGAATGGAGGAGAAGGGATTGCAGCGTGGCCATTCCCCCTGGCCCCTGGGAGGTGATTTCTCACTTTCTGTGTCCGTTGTTTGTAAAAAAAGGGAATGCCCCCAAAAAAAAAAAAAAAAAAAAAAAAAAAAAAAAAAAAAAAAAAAAAAAAACTGTAAAAATCTCACCTTTAATTTTCAAAACCATAAGTCTAACCAGTCTAAGTATAACTGAGATTGTGTTCTCCAAAGTGAGGCATTAATGCCAGTTTTTTTTTGTTTGTTTGTTTTTGTTTTTGTTTTTTGGGTTTTTTTTGGAGAGATTTTCACTGTAGGGCGCGTGCGCTCGCCAGACAGACAGAGACAGACATAGAGACAGAAAGCGAGAAATCACCCCCTAGGGGGGATGGTCACGCCGCAATCCCTTCTCCTCCATTCTCCTCTCGGGATCTTGGGCACGCACGCACACGCGCCCGGCGTGAGTTTTAAGCCACCGGGTCCAGGACACGAACCGCAGTCGACTACCTGGGAGTCCAGCGACATAGCCATTACGCTAACTGCTGGTTCGCATTAATGCCAGTTTTAATGACTTTTAATTAACAATTTTCTTTCTACACACACAAACACATATACATATATGTATATATTCATATGAAGGGGCCTCAAAGAGTTCTTAAAAAAATGGAATTGAAGTAGGAGTTTATTTCATGCAAAAAATTTGAAATCCAGGTGAGCCTATGGCATGGTGGTTAAGATGACTGGATCCCGGGAACCAGCAGTTAGCGTAATGGCTATGTCGCTGGACTCCCACGTAGTCGGCCGCGGTTCACGTCCCGGACCCGGTGGCTTAAAACTCACGCCGGGTGCGTGTGCGTGCGTGCCCAAGATCCCGAGAGGAGAATGGAGGAGAAGGGATTGTGGCGTGACCATCCCCCCTGGGGGGTGATTTCTCACTTTCTGTCTCTATGTCTCTCTCTGTCTGTCTGGCGAGCGCACGCGCCCTACAGTGAAAATCTCTCCCCCCAAAAAAAAAAAAAAAAAAGATGACTGGATCCCACATCGCCTATTGTGCAGTTCAAGTCCCAGACTCAGCAACTTGAGAAAGATACCAGGCATGTGTGCACGCATGCCCAAAATCCCAAGAGGAGAATGAAGGGGAAGGGAATGTGCTGTGGCCGTCCCCCCAGAGAATGCGTTCACACTTTCTCCCTCTCTCTTTCTCTCTCTCTCTCTATCTCTTTCTGTTTCTGTCTGGTTGTACACATACATCCTATAGCAAATTAAATATATATATTTATATGAAATCCGTGCATAGTTTTTTCTTTGTGCACATTTTCCACTAATGTTTTGAAGAACCCCCCTCATACATGGATACATATATGTCATGTATACACATGACATTGTTAGACAGTGGATAGAGGATAGGAAAATGCATATAAGGCAAAATTGGTGCATGACAATGATGTGAACAGTTGGAGAGCACCTGGTTAGACTTCTACTTTGTGCAGATGGAGCTAGTATAGGATACAAGTTTTCCAGGAAAAAGAAATCTGTTGATTTTTTTCCTCATTCAGAGTTCCCAGAGGCTTCTCTAGAAGCTAACAAAACTGATTTTAGTAAATTATCTCTTAAATGAGGATGATACTTAATTTTCTGCTTTATATATTGATAGTTATAAAGATAAAAATAAGGAAGAAAATTATGGAACTTAGGAGAAACTAAATGCATTATGCAAACAGTCATCAATACAATTGTATACTGTTTTACAATATGGATAAAGTTAAATAGCTTGCCAATATCTATTAAATCAAAATATAAAACATTTTTGACATGTAGCAGTAAGAGCTAACATGTGAGTGTTTATTGTCATCAAGGTACTGGGCAAATAAACATTAGGTTATTAGAAAAGTCATGCATATTCTTCTATGCTTTTCTATGCAAAAATGCATCATGCCTTTTCAGATGACCCAATATATTACTCTAAACAATCCTGTAGAAATATTGGCCATATGACTTCATGTCCAAATCAAGACACTTTTGAGAGTAAAAGGAAATGCTATTGATAATTATGTTGGACCAAGAAGCTAAATCAAAACTGATTTTATGAAAACCAGAAGATATGGCACCCTTCCTAAAAGATAGGTATTATTTTTATTATTTTTTTTATTATTCTCATTTTACAAATGAGGACTGAGGCTCAGAGAGATTAAATTCTTGGCCAAAACTGTACAACCAAGAATAGTCAGATCTAAGACTTGAACAAACCTTTTCCCAAAGAACACTTAACTACAGCATTACTACTCAAAGAAACACAAAAATTCTCATTTTTGTTCCTATCCAAGAGTTTTACCATATGGAACTAAGATTTGAAAAGAATCCTTGATCCATGCTCTTAAACTTACTGGGAAACAAGATATGGGGCTGGCAGGTGGCATGGTGTTAAAGGCGCTGGACTCGCTCATGGCTGACTGCGGTTTGAGTCCCAGACCTGGTGGCTTACTTTCTCGCTTTCTCTCTCTCTCTCTCTCTCTCTCTCTCTCTCTCTCTCTGCCCTCTCTCTCTCTCTCTCTGCCCTCTCTGGTCAAATTAAAATAAATAAATAAATAAAGTTAAATAAAATAGTTCTTTAAAAAGAAAACAATAAGATATAACAGTTAGCAATTGCCTTGGTTCAAATACTAACTCCACTTTCTAGCTAAGAGATATTGGTAAGCTATTTAACTTTACCCATAAAAACAGACTAATAGAGGATATCTCATAGATTCGTATAAAAGGATTGGGTTAATAAATACTGTAGTATACTTAGAAATGCCTGCTAATTGAGGTTCCTCTGGAGATGCATAATGGGCGTGCAGGCACACATTTTAATCAAATCAATTCCAGATCTTCAACTTTCATACATGCTTTCACTAAAATTGATTTGTTAAATAATGCGCCTCACATGCATTTCTCCTTTTTCACTTCCCTTGGCATTGTTATCCTACTTTTAGTTCTTTCTTTCTCTTTAGGCAAACCACTCACCTGCTTCATCCCTAATCATAATATTATAGTTTACCTTGGGATGGAAGTGCTTCCAGGAAATAAATCAAAGGTTGGTTTGAAATTATGGTGTTTATATTGAGAAAGTCTTTCCAATTCAGGTGACTTCAATCCTTTGCATTCAACCTTATCATCTGGTAAAACATTAAAAATTATTTTATGTTTTATTTATCTCGTGAGAGAGAAAGGCACTCCCCAACAGGGTCTTCACACTGACCCAGTCTCAGGCAGCCTGGATCATGGGCACACAAGCCTCGAGCATGCAAAGGGAGGCTCCAGGACACAAACTCTAGACTTCACTATGTGGGTCAAGCACTGCGAACCATGGCATTATCACTGCACTGCCATGTGGCCCCAAAATTATTTTGCACTAAGAGATTTTTGGTATATACTTCTGGGTGAGTCAAAAAATGGAGTGTTACTGCTATGACAAAACAGCTTCTTGTCCCATCTAGTTATGAATGTAAACAAGTTTTCTTGATATTTTTATTTTAAAAGAAAAAAAATAAAATTGATACAGAACCCTGTCTCAGAGCAATAAATAATAAATATATGAACTAACTCTGGGATTCAGAGTTTGTCAAAATTATTTGGGGACTATATGATCAAAAATGTTTGAAAACCTTGGGACCAGCAGATGGCATAATGGCTATGTCGCTCGACTCCCATGTAGTCAACCACGGTTTGAGTCCCAGACCCGGTAGCTTAAACTCACTCTGGGTGCATGTGCAAACGTGCCCAAGATCCCAAGAGGAGAATGGAGGAGAAGGGATTGTGCTGTGGCCATCCCCCCTGAGGAGTGATTTCTTGCTTTCTGTCTTTCTATCTCTCTGCTGCCTTTCTGGTGAACGCATGAGCCCTCCAAAAAA